ATAGTACACTCCGATAATCGACCCGAACTCCAAGCATTAGCATTTTAAATAACCCACTTGTTCATCCTCAAACTCCAAACAGGTGATTTCTTCTTCAAGAAGACGGTCACCAATAGACAAATAATGCGTAAAGTCCTCGATCAAATCGTATTTATCCTCTGGTGGCTGCATCACCGGCTGAATCAATGTGGATTTGAACCCTACTTTCATGAAAGCATTGATCAGTACATCTACATTGAAAATATCAGTCAGCATATCCTTGTATCAACTGCGGTAACCCCACTCGAAACTCATCCACTGCATCACGTGGTATCCCTAAATTTTTCCCACAGATTTATAAATTAAGGCCCATGAGCTGCTTGTTTCTTACTTTGTACGATTGAATACCATATCTGTCTGGCCAAGAGCGAAACCAACCTTTGGAAGCCTTGAAGTCATTATGATGCACTCTTTGTGCCAGCTGGATTGCCTTCTTACGTACGATGCTCTCCATCATTGGGAACTCTCCATGCTTTTCCTTCATAGCGATTAACCAAGCCAAAGTTACCTCATTCACTGCCTTGAACTTTTGGTTGGTTTTTTTAGGTGATATCCTTCCTCAGATGCTCCAGCGTTCAAAATTCAGTCGTTCTATGGGATGCAACATTGTAGACAGTTTTTCGTGAAAATCCAAGTGACTTGTCTACGGAACTCTGAGTTGCACCTGGCTGTTTCAGCATTTTCGACACATTCTGCTTCTCTCTGATCGATAGGCGCTTGCAAATTTTGACGTCTCCGATCAGTTACATCGGTATAACTTCTTCGAAAGGATTATCCAATCAGTGAGCAGTGCCATGAACGCGTCACATTAGGTGAAACGCCATTGGTTGAGTGCGACCTTTCAGGTTGGATGGTCAATGGTGGTCCCGAACATCGGTCAGCGACCAAGTGAGTACGTATCAGGAACCGCAACATATTGGGGGGTGCGACATCGCATAGTCAGAAACTAAGCTATTAGGCACATGATGAAAGCCTTGAGTGTCCCTTAGATGATGGTACAGCGAAATATGAAAGCTGAGCAAAACGTTTTCGGATACGCAGTGTACACGGGTACGAGGCGCAGATGACTGTAATCTATTGTGAATAGTGTTCACTGATTCCAACTCACACAGAACCAAATATCAACAGCCAAGCGCAGTTCACAAGTCAGCAAGGTCGTTATTATCGATGAGGGGAAGCTAAGGTGAAAGCAGTGATACTCGTCAGACAGAGAGTATCACGAAATAAGATGACTAGCAAGAACGCTTGGCTTGTATGGTGAATTTTAATCACCTGTCTAAAAAGCTATTAGGCCATAATAGTTTAAATCAATCAGTACCCACCGAGCCTATTCTCGTCACTGGGAGAAGGAACAGTACGGCACAAATTGCGATGATTACAATCACGGTTAGGGTCGACAGATACCATGGAAACAGTGGAACAACTTTTTGGGGACGTGAAATAAACGATAGACGGTCACACAAGCAGAGACTTGGCCTATAAAATGCTCTCACGAACGTAGACTGATCTAAGATGGATGACGGAACTAGGACAAATATACGGACGAAAAGACAGATTCAGTGAAGACAAACGAGCAAAACAGACATGTTCATTATTGAAAGGGGAAATAGATCTGCCTGAGAACCGATTAGCCCCGTAACAAAGTGCGTGTGTGTGCGTGCGCGCGGGGGAGTCATTTCTCAGTAGGTCAGTCCAATGGAACTCACGTGTTCAAATAGAACTAATCCGGAGCAAAGACGTTCTTTAGTGAGAATCTCGTTTTCTTTGGCCAGACTCATTTGCTGTCACAAACGGTTTGAAGCGCGGACGAAATGATTCGTGAGTGTACGATCATAGTGGTCATATGAGTGCAATCCATAAATGGAATCCGATGGGGGGGAGGGAAGACAAGAACAAACAGACAGATGCATGAGAGTTAGAGCGAAAGCGTGGGCGATCAATGTGGCAAAGCGTAAGCGAGAGCATGACCGCCGGAAGCAAAGATTAATCTCAAAATCAATAGAATCGGTCACGTTGAGGTGAAAGTGAAACAGCATACAATCTGTCCGGGTATGACTCGCCCCGCCGCTAAAGGGAGGGAGGGAGGGGGCGGGGACCCGGGAGAAAAGACAGATTCTCACTTTTGATCCCGTTTCACCTTCATCACTTGGGCTACGGTGTGAGGACAAGCGTGTAAATCAGAAATGCGTGAAAGAAAACAATCGCAAGTAGTGCGCACAAAGGAAAATAATTAAAATCAAGCAGACGCGCGCAAACGTTATCTCAATTTCAATATTATCAGACCCAGTGAAATTTAAATGAGAAATTCTACTTTGAGCTGCAGATGATCGAAAAGCAAAGACATTTAGTATCACACACCCAGATCCAACGACCAAAGTGGTGCAGGGATCTTGAAACATAGGGTCCGCCTCTAATCATCGCATCAAGATCGAAAGAAAACACATGTCGCGCCGTAAGAACACTTCGATCAATTTCAATCGCTGATGTAAGACAATCAGGCACATATATAACATCTTGGGTTGGTAAATCTTAGTTAACGGACGTGCACGGATAGACAGAGGCTATTAAAATTAATAAAGAGAGGTCGACGGCACGGCAACAACTTTTGGAAGCCCTAAACAGGACGATGTAATCGGAGTAAAACGCGCCGCTAATTGCCAACAGTTTTGCATTACAGTTACGTAAGAAGGGCTTGAAAGAGGAAGCGGGATCAATTATAAGATTGGCTGTCATGGGGTGTTGTCGACGCAATCAGTGCATTTGCTGTGAATTTGACCTCCTGTTTTTAATTTTAATAGCCCCTGTCTATCTGTACACGTCCGTTGATTCGGATTAATCAAAGAAAGTGTTGTAAAAGGTGTTTGTTTGTCATATGTCAACGATTGACCGAAATTTTAATATCCCTCGACATGTGTCCCCTTTCGGTTTTGATGCAATGAACTTGAATAAGGTGAACTGCAAAGTCACTTTTCGAAATCAAAATAGTGCATAAAATTGAATTTGAGTCGACAGAATACAAAGAAAATACTAATCATCCCGGGATGTTTTTAGTACTTTATTTACCCAACCTATGAGGATGGGGTAGGATACCACAAGTCTGATTAAAGGAGTTGCTCGGTACCAGATTCATCTCCAGGTGGTGGCTAGGTGAGCATTGCATCACGGAATATGCTATCACGAACGATTAGCGGCGAGGCTTGGATGCGTCCCCGAAGCCGACTCATCCTCAGAGAGGAGTAAGCTGCTTGAAAGAACAAGTAAACTAATCTCCGCGGGATAGGGAGAATCTGCTTCAGTTACAAATGCATGGGAATTTCCAGTCGGTAGAGTTGAACTGAGGTTAGAAACGGCCAATAATTGAAGTCGATCGAACAGACCCCCGAGTTTATCACATTTTACTTCCAAACACAGTACGATCAGATAAAATGCAATTTCTTCTTCCGCCCAGCACACTTTACAACATGCAAACAATCAAACAAACACGTACCAATTGAACGGATATTGATATATGTCAGCTAATACAGTACGCGTCTTCGGTCGTTGGATTAGATAAAATTGAAACTGAGTAACAAGCAGTGAAGTCATCCCCCACCCCACTGAAAATAGTTGGAATTAGTGTCAAACAGAGTAGGAGACTACATCTATTCGACACAGCAATTACGTCCTCATGGACAGACCATTGTCCATTATTCGGCCAGACAAAAAAGGTATGAGAGAACTGATCTGATTATGGTTGATATTTACAGAGGGAAAACACGAAAAGATTACAAAGCTCGAGTAGTCCAAATCTATCAAATGCACAAATTATTCCTCATTGAACTTTGACGGGAAAAAACCATTGACAGAAACCATGTGCAACAATTGAAAGACAGTTGTTTTTTTATCGTGTTTGAGCATACAGAAGTGAAGGAAAGGTAAACCGGAATTAGTACAGTGTTTTGACTGAAGGGCAGTGCAGTACAACCCCTCAATCCCAGGATTAAGATCAATATTAGTCGACAAATTGCGTTCAGCAAAGATAAGAGATGGATTTTTATCCGTTTTTCGCAGACCATGCATGCGCGGTACAGAAGCGTAGGTGGCGACCCGGCTTAGTTTCAAATCCCACTGAATCTTTTTAAAATTCAAACACGAGTAATTGTTTAGGCGGTGACTGCTGATGAGTCCCAAACAGAACGAAACAGTTATTTATGGGTCATCACAAAACATTATATCGCATTTCAACGAGTAATTGTTATTCAGTTATTCACGATATTCAAAAAAACTGAATTTTTCTAATAAGCTAATTTTTCTGGAGGGCTAAGGCTACCCAGAATCTCTTAAAAGCTCTCAGTCGATTGGGCAGTTCGGACACGTATTTTGATGCATTTTCACCATTACCCCTTTAGTGTGATTGGCAGTAGAAAGGGGTGTACTCCAAAGTTGTGAAAACCTGCTGTTCGCTAATGGCAACCGGCTAACCAAGCCTTGGAATATAGTGTACCGGCACACACACGGCATCGTAATAAAAAAAATCGATCCACATTGGACAGACGATTGGATGCCAAGGGAAAGATGGATTGGATCGCAAGTTGTCGGCCTACTGCTGGTTGAACGAACAAGCTCATGATCACCGCGTTGCTATCACGCTGTAGGCAACAGTTTGCAGGATATGAGTGACGGAACACAAGCAAGTGATAGGCCAATGCATACGATCACCGGAGAATGATCTAAATTGATGGGCCTGAACTAGAACTGCGTCAAACAATGAACCGGTCGTGGCACTGCTTAGATGAGGGAAACTGTGAGTTGCTTCAAAGGAACATCACCATAAACAAATGTATAGTTGGGCCAGATAAACACCAGGCATGTCATTTTAGTTAAGTCCTTTTGGTACGGAGCTGGCCCGGGACGGTATTCCTTCCTGTTTATGCAAGCTGCATGTTTGAGTTTCAGCGATGATTTTTTATCTGCAATCATACAGCTACTAATGCATCAACTTAAAAAAAAAGAAACAGCATAATGACAATGGAGTGATCGGACAACAGAAATTCACGAAACCCAGCATTGTAAGATCAAATCTATTCGATGCATGAGACGAGTGAGTTCAGTGAATGATTAAAATAAATGAGAACACGGCGAGGGGAAAATCGTATATTGTCCGATTTTCTGACACCGCACGCACGCACGCACGCACGCACGTAGGCGAATCAATGAACCCACTTGCATCCATTCGCTTTGCTCATTCAAGTTCATTACGACGATGTCAATTTGCCAGAGTGACAAAACCCGCCAATCGCATTTTGGTAATTCGTTTGAAAAAGGGTTTTTATTTGTCACATGACCGCCATTCGATCAGATAAAGCGGATTGTGAATCTGCTCATATTTCCCATTCTCTCTCCGGTCGACTGCACAGCTCCGACCTACAGATGCCCCAATTGAGTGGAAATGAGCGTTGTGCAAGTGCCTGGAAAGTTTAGTAACCGAACGAAACAACACATTTAATTCAAAGTGCTTACAGCGCCCAGCCCCCCTCCCCCCCTCCCCGCCCCACAGGGGGACGGGATGAAGTTCCGGTTGAGTGAGGACAATGGTGCATGCTTTCAACTGATCAGAACATTACACAATGAGACAGACGAATCACATGCGAGAACCATGGACAACCCCCACCACTTCCACTTTGAGTGAGGTTTCGATCGAAATAAGAATGAAGGTGGGCTAGAAACTCGTGTTTTCAAACCCAGAGAAAATTTATCTTCAAACACGAACATTTAATCAACAAAGAAACAAAAAGAAACAGTAACAAAACGTATTAAAGTACCACGAGATACCCAAGAGACAAAACCGATGTGACACAATTACAATTGTAAAGGGAGAATCCGGAGAAAAATTGCTCCAATAAACTTGATTTAGGCTCTGTTTATTTTGATTTTATGACATCATGCACTCGAATGAACAGTGAATTCAATTGTGCGACCTTTGTATTATGTTGTCCATGAAGTGATACTCTACGCTAATAGTGTTGTTGTTGCTTTTGGCTAGCTCAGCTATTCCCTATGCCCCATCAGGTGTTCAGTGACTGTACTATACCAAAATCTTAGACCGTTATGTGATGTACTGCGTTGGGAGAGTGGCTCAATTTATTCCACTATTTGCACTGTTACAATCGATTGCATCCATACATCGTTTGAGAAATGTGTTCCCAACAGTGTGCAAACACTTTCCCGTCAGTTCCATCAGGAGTTCGATCTCGAAAACTTTTATACTTCTCGTCTGGGCTGATCTCAACAGTGTTCTATGGAATATGGTGACCAAGCAGCAAATGTCATAATGCACTTTACATAACTGCACATTTTTGCATGTGTGTTGACGAGGAGGGGGGGGGGGTTACCGTCCTGAAAGATACAAGTTACTTTCTGTTCTAACAACAGCTTTGCTCATTCAATATCTAGCTAGCTCAGACTAGTCGTAGTTAAACCGTCGTAAACCGGTTCACTCTTTCTATCCGACCAAAATGCCNCCCCCCCCCCCCACACACACACTACCTCACAATATTGATATATTCCTTCCGTTTTTGTGCTTTTGTCCGTTCGATCTGCAGAAAAGCACGCCTCCGTCTGTCATCCATGGTTGAAATTTTAATTCATTCTAATGGAACGAGGTTCTCATTTTCTGACCTACGGTGAACTCGTGACCTGTGCTCTTTGAGATTCCCACAGAGGCCAGACAACCTTCACCCGTATGAGCACCACGTGAACACAGCAAAACAGATAAATGTGGCGACAGAGTAGTAGAAAGTTCATATCGGTCTGACCACCATAACAAACCTCATGGTTTTTTTCGTTCACGCAACGGTAGACTGAAACAGTTTAAAGTACAACTTGGCTGTACCAGATGGATACACTGGACCAAAAGAATAACGCCTCGGGGCCTTGTCTTATTTAGGAGTGCATGCTTGTGTGGTGAATAGTATATCGTATTACAGTGGTGTGAGGGACAATGTGTCAAGCGCTTCGTGGCAAAGGTGACCGTGAAATAAGACATCCATGACTCTATGCATCAGACGGATATTTTGAAACGGGAAAAGTTCAATAAACTGAAGCAACTCACATCGGGGGTGCCGATCTTCGAGACCACACTGACGACACTCATCGACTCTTGTTTCTTTTGCAACTCCTTGATCTGGATCTCACGTTCACGACGCCACTCGGCAGCAAGTTTTGCTTTGCTTGCTATCATCAGCCCAAGAGAAGAAAGAGAGGTATGCACATGTGTTATAAACTGAAGGTTGGATTGCCCGAAAGGAAAATACGCATCAAGTGAGTGACCCGGCGCAAATGGATGACTTCTATCTGCATTTTTAAAAATTGGGTCTTAACGCGACTAAGTTTGCACAACACAATGCATTAAATCTGTTTGAAACTGTTAAAAATCATATAAATTTGATGCGCCATTGCGTCTAGTAACAGTTTCTGATCATTAAGTATTCACATGGATCGATTGAACCAAATGAAACGAAAAGTGACATCTGACTTTGTCGGGTACAATAGACAGCTTTTGTGGAAAGCCACTTGAGGGAAATTACGGTATCAATGAAAGGTTGAGTACAGGAACTAGGTGAGTATGAGCCGCGGGAAAATGTCAACCGATCATTGACTCAATGATGTAGTTTGTAAATGAGAACAAATGGTGCATGATGGAACCAGGGAAAAGAAACGTCGAATACCACGTGATGTGTAATAACAGAGGAATGAGTAAGAACCTAGATTGAAACTTGGTGAAATCAAAGATCACGATGGGATCACCTGATGGGAAAATGCATTTCTAGACCAAAAGAAGAAGTTACATGCGAATTTGGAGCAGCTGACTCCATTATATAGTGGATTTCATCGTGAACAGAACAAATGAGGTGTGCTGAGATTAGCGAGGTGCGATGCTCTCAACAAGCTCGCAAAGATGGGTTATACTATAGTGTGTAAAGGCAAAATGCAAAGCGGTCTGATCGGTTGCCCATTCCGCCTGAGAGACCCCGCGTTCGATCCCCAGTTGAATCGGTGGAATCGAAAGGTCAAAAACGGCTTCCTAACTTTTGAGTTTACGTTTCATGTGCCCGATTCACTACGAGATCTACTGTATCAACCATTTGATGGTTGTCATGTGATTGTGACTGGAATTGTGTTGAGAACAAAATTGTAAGTTGACCGAATTCACTTTCAAGATGTCCGGGTAACATTTCCAGTTGTCTCAGTATTATTTTAAGCTGTTTTGTTGACCCCATCGGCTCTGCCAGGCCCACGTACTGTTCAAGCCTCCTAGCGATGTCTGAATGATCACGATGCGGCCCAGATTTATCAGCCCGTTGAGGCGTGGGTGAGATGTACCTTGATCACATGTGCCTCAATTCCGATGACATACATATTGGTTATTTACCTTGCCAGCACGGGTACGCATGTTTGTCCCATTCCTCCTGAATAGTCTTATCGGGTCGAGCTACGCTGATAGCAATGGATCGTGTGCGATCAACGTTGGAGTCATTGCTTATGTCCATCTGCTGACGTTGCAATAGGATTCATGAGGTACACAAGCGGCTGCACGAAGACACTAATCGATCATGCCCGATCGATATGCACGTCAATGTTGTCCAGATTCACATTCAGCTTGTATGACGCTTGCAGATTAGATCTCACCTGTGAGTCACCGCCAGAGAAGCATCTTCAGAATTTCTCCTCTTCAAGTACGGAATAATCCAAATTACCTTCTGTAACACCGGTACCACAGTCTGTACGTTTAGTAAAATCCAGAAAAGCTTATGAATGACACAACTGTGTTGAACAGAAGTTATGTATGTATTGCTCGACTTTTCAGCTACCTACCTTAGTTGGGACACGTCGGGAGTATGTGAACCGGTAAGTAATCAGAATCAATATGCCCAATCGATTTATTTATTTATTATTTATTATTTATTAATTTCGACAATATAACCATGAATGAATCCTTGAGGAGTTGAAAATTTCCTTCCTCAAAACTATTACAGTGGCCTTGAATAGCTCTAAATGAATCAACATTCAACTACAGCACAGTGTATTTTCATTCCGCTTTTTCCGATTTGGCACTATCTCTCTACCAATCAGAGGTCACACGGAACTGCCATATGGCGTTTCTTGGTTCAGTTGATCCCTCTATAGTCAAACGGGACCGATCACAAATTGCTTCCGGGTGTAAATGGAACTTCGGATGGGCTGCGTCAGATGCCGCATAGATCTCTCCAAACACCCCTTGGGTTTATGTTAAGACATCATGCGTAGTATTATCCATAACTTGGTGAGCAACTTGGATCCATCGAGAACTTTGATCTGTCTTAAATAAGTGCGATTGAACGTGCACATCATCAGCGGGATGCTGATGAACATGAGACGTGAGCAGGCCAAACGCCCAAATGACGACGACACGCATCAGACATGAACAAAGCGCAATAGAATAAGGCACGGTTTAAACAGTGGGTAACTGATGAATCAATACGCACGTGCAATTCACCTTCATTAGAACCACTACATGTTGAACAACTGCGTGTGTCTGAGTTTAGTAAAAGAGCGGCTAATGATAGAAGCTGATCAATATCCAAGATCGGGGAGACTTAAAGTTACCTGAATTAGTCCAACGAATGGCAAAAAGTTAGACGATTCTCCACAATCAGACCGATCAATTCACCCTAATTCCGAATTTGAGAAAGTCTGTGACTCATCCGTGAACACTGGAACCAACGGAAGAGGGGCGAGAGAGAAGAGTAGCAGTCTAAATGATGTAGAAGAAATTACTCTCGGAACGATCGATGGATTAAGTTTCCTAACACAATTATTGTCCAATCGTCACGCAACGGGTCTGTTTGAAACGAGGGATGTCGCAACAGATTAAAATTATTCATGAAACTGTCTCCAATCCACCATGCTGTGGTCTCTTTTTTATGTTAGACACATCATTTCCGCATCACGGAAAAGCCTCGGTTAGCTGTTTCACCAGACGGAGATTGTCTTCCGCATAGTCGCATATCAAAACCCGGAGATGAAGGCCTATCCTATACGATACAGATGAACAGATCATCGGCAGACCATCTAGACATACTGCTTCAATTCACAGTAAGCGTACGCGTTGAACGAAATAGACCGAGGATGATATTTTCCGTGTAATTCTTCTGCGTAAGTGGGTCTGTACAGACTGAGAGAGAGCACAGGTTGATGACAGTGCACTATGGTCGTTTTTCCCCATGAAAAGTGGAAATCTCAGCTGAAAAAACTCAAATGAATGGCGGAACACGAAAACACAGAAAACTCACGATCTTGCAAAGGAATCGGAGGAAAGAAGTGCTTGGGCATTTGGCCGATAAATGGACCAGCATGTCGCAGATCACATGCATCCTCAATCGACTGGAATGAGAAACAGAGATAAGAGAGATCATCTATCAAAGACGATACATCTTTTACAACACTAATATGCGTATAAAGAGAAGGTTGAATTCAAACATTATCGGAAGTGTTGCAAAAGCTACATTAGTGAAAATCGAAGTGAGATCTGTAAGAAGTTGAGAACGAGGAGGCTTGCGCATCGATGAACTGAGTGAGTTCCTATCCACCTTAACAGAAACAGGTCGATGCAACGACGATTAAATGCATCCAAACAAGCGAGATCAGATGAGGCCGAGGAATGCAGAGTCGCATTTGGAAGTGCCAGTTGGATGCGCAAAGTTGATGACGATGCGATAGTTACATTAAGTCCTCACTAACGACTCGTTATGCCAATAAAAAAGTTAGTTGGATTGATCGTTAATTATTCTCCTTTCTTTAGAACACGCCATAATGAACGGTGGGAGATAACAGCTCTGAATGGACTGAGACTTACAGTCAGGCTATGAGAACAGAGAACCTAAGTTCCAAAACTTGAAGTACAAAAAGCTCATTAGGATAGTGTAGCTATTCGAGAGAAAAAAACAGAGGTGAGCAATTATCGACAACTCGCATAGAACAATAGGGACAAACACTGTGTTTAGCACTTTGAATAAATAATACTAATGGCTAGCACCTTATATATATATATATATATATATATATATATATATATATATATATAT